TCCACTGGGCTTCAAACAGGCTCTCTGTATGGAGTGAGGAGTGTGATGGGCTGACGGAGGCAAGGGTAACCCCCATCCCCAAGGAGGACGTGTCCATTTGGGGGATAGAGCCGGTGGACATACAGGGGGCTGTTTTTAAGCACCCGAGAATCGTGCACAGATCCGGGGTAGCCAACAAACAAATCAATAAATAAGCCACGGTGATTACACACAGCCTGCATTTGAATAGAATAAAACAATTTCCTGTTAAAATAACACTGTGCATTTTCTTGAAGGGGCTTTATTCTGATGTGGCAGCCATCGATGCTCTCCAGCCAGCAACTGAAACCCAGCTGCAACTTGGGGAAGTTCCTCCAGGGAAGGGAAATGAATTATTTGGCCACGCATTTGAAGGATCTGGTTGGCCACCCTGTGGATCACATCGTGGACCGTAGACTGAGGCATGTCCAATGCCCTGGCGACAACACGGTACGCGGTGCCACTGGCCAACCAAAAGAGGAAGACCAAAACCTCCATGTCCTGGCTCCAGCCCTGGTGATGAGCACTCCTCAGGTGGCTAACCAGACGGGTGATGGTGGTTCGAGTGAGACGTAAAATCGGGGCGAAGGTCAGACTGGCCATTTAAGTACATGCTGAGTAGGGGTACATGGTGGTTCAGTCGGCAGTACACCGGTGGTTCACCCTAAAACAAAACAAAAATTCTCTTAAACTTAATATGATACTTCTAGATTCATTTTTTAATTCTGTATCTGCACTTTTAGTTATGAGTGCAGACACAGGAATAAGTACTCATTTTTCATTTTGAGATTTAAAAATGTAAATAAAAATGAAGAGTATATAGCTGAAGTCATGTTCTTTTGTGCCCTGGCATTGATTTTGCCAAATGTATTGTGTGTTGCAGGGAGCTGGAGCTGCCCTGAGACAACTGAAGTAGAAACCCTCAGCCTACATCACTCGCACCTAATAACACACAAAAAAATCACAGAAGCCCTGTGCCCCATGGCCAAGCAAATTCTATTATTGTTTAATGATTAAGTACTCATTTTTCATTTAGAAAAAATGAGTACTTAATCCATTTTCCTTGCTATGGTTTTGTGTTCTTTCAACCAATAAAATATTTTAATGTTCTTGCATTTTAAGTGAGTGTGTCTATACAATGTGTTTTCTTGTTGAAATATGTCTAAATGTATATGACTAATGTGTTTCTCATTGACTGAGAATAGTATTTTTAACTAGTAAGTACACCAAAAGTACTATAATTTACCCAGTAGATGGTGCTAATGCTATATAGACAAAGGACGAATACAATACTTACACGACGCCTTGCTAATGAAAGAAGAGCCATTCTCCTCCTCCGCCTCATCGCCTGTCTTCGCCTTCTCTCTGTTCGGCGGTTTTTAATTCGCATTATGAGAAGTTGTATAATTGTTAACAAAAACACCGCAAAATTCAGTGGAGGTGCCATTTCACCAGTGGTAGAAAGCCAAGAACTTTGTCCTGTCTCGACCCCCTGTGCCCAATCCAGTCATGCCAAGAACTCTGTCCCCGGCCCCCCTCCGCCCATCACCCGCCCTGATACAGGTGGGACCACAGGCTTCTATCCCTGTGTAGAGAGAGGACCACAGGCTTCTATCCCTGTGTAGAGAGAGGACCACAGCCTTCTATCCCTGTGAAGAGAGAGGACCTCAGGCTTCTATCCCTGTGAAGAGATAGGGCAGTTCACAAGAAACTTTCCCACTGACAAGGGAAGCCCCGCCCACAGCAGCAGTCAAAGAGTGGACAGAGACAAAGCAACAACTGGGTCTGACAACATGGCCCCAGGCCCACCATGTTTCCGGACAGTTCCACAGGAACCAGCAAGAACGATATGGGACTGACTGACTGGAGGACAAGGGTCTGGGAGGGTCCCACAGACGATCTGGACGAGGCAGACCATGGTCCGGGTATCGTAAACAAAACATTACTCAAACACACATCTACACATGTCCAGAAGTCAGGACAACACAAGCACTCATTTGGGGATGGATGTGATCATTGACGTATGCACAAATTTAGACTATTCTAAAGTTTAGAGTAGTTTGACAAACCCTATTGTCAGAGAAAAAAAAAAAAGGGTGGGGAATAGGTTACTTTAATCAATTCCGTGGGCCACATACTCCTTGATCAAGGACTTTATTTATTACATAGTTTCCCTGAATGGGTGAAGGACACATTCTTTTCTTTAGAGGCGAAACATGACAAAGGATTTTTTTCATAAATCCATTGAAATGTTCTGAATATGTGAATAATCTGAAGGTTGTGAGTTTAAACAGAGTTTCTATGTTTTCCAAATTGCCCAGTTGTTTTACATGGCAGAGACTAAATCTATGGTCTGTGTGTAAAAATAAGAAATAAAACAAACGGTAAAAATCCCTCGTAGTATAAAAGTATAATAGTATTTTGACAGAAGATTGTCTGTCTATAATGTATTTGAATGTAAATTGTCACCAAATCCCACAATCAATTTGGTAAATGTAATGTTTTAGTCAGACGACCTGAGGTTTCATAACTTTGGATATGTGCAATGCTCGATTGTGATGTAGAAAACACTGATTTTGATGTGAATGTAACTGGTCTGAGAGAGAGAGAGAGATAAGGACAATAATGACCCACAGCACACACACAACATTACACAGTGTTTCTGTTAGAGCCTAGAGCCGCAGAGAGGGAGGGGCTTGTAGATCTTGGGAACAGAAGTGTGAAAGTGTGTGATTGGCATAAAACAGATGAAAAGACATTTTCAGCCAAAACATAGAGACATGGAGAGTTCGACTTCTACGTCACAGAGAGACAGTGTCAGACGTCAGAGCGACTGCTCTGAAAATGAGGCGTGTTAAATAACTCTGGCAGAGGCTGGAGTAATCGTACATTGCAGAGGCGTAAACAAAGCCATCATGGCAATAAACAAAATAAACCAGGAGCAAAATAGGTCCAAATCGTTTAGCTATTTTCCTCATGAGTACTCCAAAAATGTTAAAAGCCAAGTACTTTTTTTTGTAGTGATAGACTTGGCAAATGTATATTTTTGTAATACTAGGGTTTTTATATTTTTCCTTCAATAGGTGCTCGAAGGCCAAAAGGGGACCCCAGTTTTGTTTTGTTTTTTTGACTGCACTTGTTTTAGTTAGTTTTTATTTGAGCAACAGTCAGTAATGATAAGATTAAGAGATTTTTAGAGGTCCCACAGTGGGGAAATTTCAGTGTTGCATTACAACACAAGACAGGTGAACAGTAAGTATAGCACAACTCTATACTTTTGAATGTAAAATAATTTTGCTCGGTAAAGGTACACGGAAAGGATAGTGTACTCTAGTGTAAATAAATGTATACTTGTATTTACACAACTGTAAACAAATCTAGAACACTCTCTAGGTCAAGAATATCGAAATGGTAAGTCTTTAACACTGTGATGATACTATAGTACACGTATTAAAACCAAGTATATTATTAGTATGTTTGCTACTCAAAGGGAGTAGTTCAAAGAACATATGAACACATACCACTCGTTCCATTCATTTTGTGTATTTGACATACACATACACAGTAGCACACACATATGTATTTACATACACAGGCTTACAGTAAAAGTAAGGGTAACATGGTCAATAAATGAGGATTGTGTTGTGTGTGTCATATATGGAGTTTCTCATAAAACAGTATTCACAATATGTTTAACAGGATAGTTTTTAATAGTTATCAGTTGTTAAATTGTAGAGACACCACATACACCAGGTGGTTAGTGTATTTTTTTTAAACTTTAACTTGTTAATATTTTTTTGTTTAAATTCAAGTGTATAGTATAGCTTTGAGTAATAGGATATTATTCAGACTTTCCCAAAGCTCTGTAATGCTGCGACTCTTGAGGGTGATAAGAGCAGAGGTCTGACAAGGCAGACAAAGCAAACACGAAGGCCGAAAGTAATAAAATATTGAATCTTCTCATTTTGTGGATATACATTTTTATTTAATATTATGAAGGTATCTAAATGAAATAAAATGATTGGCCAATGGTTTAGTTTTTTTTATTGACAATTGATTTAAAATTGTTTTTTTTTTTATATAGTTAATCAATTCAGGTGGTGTTTCCAATACATTAGAAGGTATATGGTAATTTTCCAGCGGGAGTTTGTTTAAAAATTAGGAATAATGCCTTGGGGTTCAAATTAACCTTGCAATTAAGATCAGTTAATACTTATATTTGAGAATCATTTCAGAAGCCATTAAAACATTTAGGTTTAAAAAAAAAAGGTCTCCATGAGTTTTCATCTGTGCAAACAATCATCAAAACACTTAAGTTTATTTTATCTTTAGGATATAGGTTGTTGTTTTACCATTAGAGAATAATTAGTTAGTGAGGCCTGACTTGTGTGAAAGACTTATCTGCTCTCCAAGGCCGGAGAGGAGAGTGTTTTGGAAACTCAAACTGATAACCCATGAGTAAAGTTATATGGAGACCATTATTATTATTATAATATAGACTGAGGCTAAGCTCTGGCAGCGCAGACCCAGAGGACAGGCTAGGGAGGGGACAAATAACCCTTTTGCCAAAACATTGTTTTCCGAAATGTGACCAACCTCTCCATGAGGTGGGATCACATCTCAAAGAGGGAGACACAGAGCGACATCATGCCTTGGCCATGAGGGTCGAGCCAGAGGAGGGGTCTGTGTCCGGCGAATGCCAGGAGGGGCCCTAACCAAAAGTGCCGGGGGCACCCCACTGCAAAGGGTCGACGCCCCACCATGGGTCCAGCCCACTGCAGGTGGACCCCAGCTGCCCAGAGCCAAAGGGGACCAACGAGAAGGGTCCAACGCAGGGTTCAGCAAAGAAGTGGGGGCGGCAGTGGAATCTTATCATATCTGTAAGTTTTGACATTCATATTGCCTGCACGTCAATTAAAACCTATGGCCAAGACCCTAAAAAGTGATGGTCATAAAACTGTAACTGCCTGTGGTATGTGGTTTTATGGGACGTATGAACTGATGATGTCACTCACCACGCTGACTTTGAAGGCGTAGAGCAGGTCAAAGGGCAGGGCAGCCACCAGGTCAATGATGAACCAGGTTGTCAGGTAGTGGAAGCAGATCTGCCTTGCGTCAAAGATAACCTGGCCGGACTTACTCACATAGCTCGTGCGGAAGTTGAACACAATGTCTGAAAAAAAGATGAAGCTGATCAGACAACATGCCGAAGGCAAGAGCTAAAACTGAGGGCAATTGTAGCTGGTTTCTCCAATAGGACATTAGACAAATTATCTCTTCGACTCCTACCCTATTCTTGCAAAGAGTATATGAGACCCTCCCTGGTGCACGTAAAGAGTATATAAGGAACTTCTAAAGTGATGTAAGCAGAGAAAGGCCGCCTGCGCTGTCGGAGACGGGTGTTTGTGTCCACTATGTTCAACATAAAGACTACTCTGTCCATCTTACCTGCTATGGTTTGCCTTTGTTTGATCAGTTTTGGTTTTGCATTATTATATTGTTGTGTTTGTTATTATTGTTATTGTTATTCATATAATTATTCACACACAAAAATTAAAATCGCCCAAACCCACCCATTCGCCACAAGCCTAGAGCCAGCTTATGACAACTATGTACCAAGGAGCGGTTACTTGAGATAGCAGAGTATTATAACATTTAAATTGTGGGCAGAAAACTCAAAGAGACTGTTAAGAATGTGTTAGAATAGGGCCTCATTTAGGCTGTCATTTCAAAACTGGGTTTAATTTGTCTTAAATTGATAGCTGTATTTCAGGATGATTGACAGTGAGAGTGAATATGTAAATGTAGAGGTGAAAACCCACAGGTTTTGAGGCGTCACAGTAGTGTTAGGGTGTCTCTGTCCCAAACAAAACAACTCGCCTGTCTTCATGTTTATGATCTGAACTTGTATTACACTTTCTTTCTTCTTTCCCCATGGTGTGCACTGAGATTTTTTATCCCCACAATGATTTAGAATTTACTCCACGGATCCGTACAGAGCTCTATCCTGAATATTATGCTCACGCTGTATGCTCATCCACATGAAGTGAGACAGAAGCACTGCATGTCACTGATGCTCAGGGAGCATCCAGACATGTGGGAAAACCATCACACCAAACCAGATTAAGTTTTATTAGGTTCTGGTGATCATCCCAGACACTCGATATTCAACAACATTTATGGACATTTTGGCCATCCGTCCCTAATGGGACAGTAACTATGTGATTTCTGTTTTATTTCTTGTGTTTGAACTTTTTGATTCTTTGATTTGTATTGGCCATTTCAACAGTTGTGTAAAGTCCTTCAGAACCACTACTGTTTTGATATAGGGATATACAAGAATAAATTGTATAGCCCCACTACTCTACTCTAAAGCTGATCAGGAAGGCAAGGCAAGGCAAGTTTATTTGTATAGCAGAATTCATACACAAGGCAACTCAAAGTGCTGAACAAAACAAGAAAGCATTAAAATCATAAATAATCACGGTACATAAAAAAAAAAATTAAAAAAGGATAAAAATATAAAATCCCTCAGGAAATGTTTTTATGACTTGGTCAAATGCGCTTTGATACTCATGTAAGTATCATGAAATAGATTTTTTTATATATAAGTAGGATTTGAATCTGCTCACCGATGATGAATAGGATCTCCACAAAGATGTCGCTGACTGTGGTGCTGCGCGTCAGCTCATCGTCGTCTCCTATGAAGCACACGTTGTAGGGCACGGTGACTGCTACGTAGAAGGTGGCCAGCAGGATGAGCCAGTCCCAGCCCGCCTTCAGAGTGCTGTAGTGCAGCAGGATGAAGCGAGACTTCTTGGCCGCTGAGATCTTGTACTCCGGCAGGGCAGGGGGGTCTCCAAACACATTCTGAACAAACAAAGGTCCGATTTATTCCTTTGGCTGAATCATTGTAGGATTGTGATTGGGTAACAGTTCAGAATAGGGCAGCACTCTTTAGCCAAAATATCCAATAACACATGTTCAGAGTGTGGATGTAGGCGCTGCAAAGATGTTGCAAAGCAATTAACAGCTACAACCAGGCTCCTTAAGCAAACAGCACAGCATTCATACAGGATAAAAAACCAATGTAGTTCTAGCGCCTGGGTAGTAGTGAGCAGAGAAACTTTACAACACGACACACATGACCCCCAGCCCCCCAGCAGTATATTCACTTCAACAACAACATCCTACTCGGGTCAACGCAAAGACGTGAAAGAATGCACCAACATCCTTCTGCATTTAACAGCAGCAGCAAAAATGGAAACCAAAACAAGAGCTTTGCGTGGTTTTGTTTGGACGAATGAAGGGGTAGAATTCTCCTCTGTGTAGGGCTTGAAGCACACGTAGTTAGCTAGTGTACCTGCCGCCTCTTACATTTTTTATGTCCAAATGTACGTGGACATTTGGACGTGCGCAGTAGCCGAGAAAAAATATCCACACCTTTTCCTTCAGGCGGGTGTGAAAGAGCGTCCCGCTGAGGAGGGTATCTGAGCTGTCCCTGTCTCTGTAGGCAGGTTCTTAACGCTTACGTTTTCACCTTCCTGGAACTCTCTATGTTAACGGGAGGTGGCACGCGACACCCAACTGTTACTATTACGAGTACGGCACTGGTCAGAGTACTGTGATGTCACAGGCATTGCGTGTGTGAGCAAAGTTCTGAGCAATAGCACCCATCCTGCAATGACTGATATTGGCACATGAGTGACCACTGTTTTGGTTACAAACCTTTCCTCATGTACTGTATTTGGTGCCGGTAATTTGACTTTGACAGGACCTCCCACAGTGTGTTTGGTGCTGGTCCCTTGACAGGACCTCCCACAGCGGGCTCGGTGCTGGTACCTTGTTGAGTTTAATCTTGCCCTTGTCGCGACTGTGCAGGTGTCCGGAGATGTGGTAGAGCACAGTACTGCTGCGCAGACGAGCCGAGCCAAAGGGAGAGTTGCTCTTCAGACGTTCCCTCTTCCTCTCTGGACAAAATACAAATTCATGTATACTGTGTTATAGTGTGTAAGGCGGAATGTATGGGATCAGAGTTATTGACTAGTTGAGAATGATTATTGTTGTGAACATTTTAACTCTCGAATGATTTAGATGATTTAGTGAAGAAGGAAAGTTTTATGCATACATTTGAGTAATAATGAGAATTAGGGAACTCAACTAAATGTAATGTGTAATTTCACGTCATTGTGGTCAGCACCAATCACGCACCCAGCTGCATATGCTCGTTATGTCTCTGAGTGTGTGGGGGTCACTAGGCTAAAGACACAAGAGGATCAAGACACTGATTGGCCCATTGGATAACAAGAGATGGGACTCCTGGCAAAATCTCCTGATACATTTAATATTTCTTGAAGAAGATCCAGTCTTTATTCCTGATCTCATAGGAACAAATGTCGACACAAACATTCTCAGTCCTTTACTGTTTCTCTCTTTCTGGAACTACTCGCTCAAGTCATCGGTTTATCTGATATTGTCACTCAAAAGAAAGGAATGGCTATGACAAAGGTGGATGTCTAGTGCTGAAACATGTGGTAACTAAACAATTCTTGATTCTTTACACTTGTATCTAATTAGAAGAACCTTCTCTGTCTGAAATGAAAGTTACCAACCACCACACCTCCGTACACAGATGATGATGTTAAATCATTCCCCTATTGGCTCCTAATATTTAAAGATGCAATCAGTGAATTTTTAAAACCTAAACCCTAAAAGTAGTCATGTTATCAGGTGTTTTCAAATAGTAATGGAATTAACCAGATGCCTATAGTCTACAAAAATCAATAATAAATACTTTGGAGCAGACAGATAAAAATAAACCAATGGGATTTGTTTATCCCCAACAAACCAATGGGATGCATTTACCCCCCTTCACCCGCTTCCTGTTTCTCGCGAGTGCGCACACCTAAGTTATTGGATTATTTTCTAAACCTTAAATGAGTGGTTTCCCAGTTTTCCTAGTTGTGTAATTAATAATTTGAGAACCATAACGAGACCTCTTTTAGTCGTGCGGCCACATGTTACTTTAACCTGGATCACAGACTTTTTGGTTGGTAAAACAGTGGAAGATGACATATCGAAATTAAAACAATAACAAGATTTAGGGGCTGTAAAACTCAATATGAAATTCGAATATCCCGGCTGAAGTACCGTTATCAGATAAAGAAGTATTTGAAAAAAGCATGGTTTATGAATGCCTTTTGACATTATACTGTAGAGCCACTTTATGATGACTTGATACAGAAATCTTACATATTGCTACTTTAAGTGACCATGTTTTACCATTGAATGGGGCTCTGAGAATGCCAAAATCTCCGTTTAGGGGATCCATGTTTTACATTTTGTCAGTTAACATGTAAGAAAAGAAGGAAGCATTGACTTTATTAGTCCATTTCTGGGTCAGGGGGGTGACAATCAGAGCTGCCAACCAATGCTCATAGCACAAGTCCCTTGCTGGTCCTCTGCAGGTGGTGGGTCCACAGTAAGATGGCTGCTGCATCAGTGGTGCCACAGCCTTGGTGTATCAGAGGGAAATTCAAGCAATGAGGGATTAAGTGTCTCGCCCAACGACAGCAAACCTTAGTTGGAGCAGTTGGAGTAGGTCCCGTGGTGGGTTTGAACCCACAACCTTCAGGCCCAAAGGCCCCCCTATCCAACTTCCTGTATTGCAATACAGAAAGACACTTTTTGTTTATTCTATGCAGTCACACACGATGGCTTCAATCATCAATCTTCGTACAGCTTCAAAGTATGTCTTGCCATCTAATCTTTTTATCAAAACTTAGAAAGTACTTTTATTGACTGAAAAACAAAGACAAAGATGTAAAACAGTGTGGACTTTGCAGAACTATCTGTAGATTTGCGATGTGTCTCTCAACTTTTCTTTCCGCTTGCACATATGAAGGATTCATATTTAAACGAGTCAGTCAACATACAACACTGTTGCTGTCTCGGTGGGGGTTGGGGGGGGGGGGGGGGGGGGGGTGAGGAGGGGGGTAGACTGCACAGAGCTGTGTCCTAAACAGTGGCCTCAATCAAATCTCTATCAGAGGAAAGTTGCTGTAGCTGTTGTTTTCTACACAGAAGTGCGTTCAATTGGAACACTTCCAAAGTTGGTCATTTGTGGGGTCCTCCATTTTAGTGATCCCAATTTGGTCTCACTAAGGTACGAGGAAAAGCAACTTAAACACTGTACTGGTCACTTGCCACTTATTCTCAAGATCCTGTTTATGGTGTTTAATGGATGCAGAATACATGATATTCAATGAAAATGGTAAAAATGCCCTCTGATCAATATGAATATTGTGGATTTGTTTTTACACCGGAGCAGGCACAGATCCTGCGCTCCTCTTGATTACACTCAATTTAGTCTTCTGCTTAAATGTCAGAAGGCATGCGCCACTTATCCTCATCGCAGCTGCCGGAGGACTGGCCAACGTGCCTGGAATACAGGGCCATTCCCACGTGGGCTGGATGGATGGTGCGAGGCGAGCAGGAGGAGATGTCCTGGGAGATTGGATTCTCGATAGTGGAGGAGGGGGTGACAGGAGAAGCCAGATTGGATTGCAGAAAAGCAGAAAGTATCGGTGGAGGTTGGGAGTGATAAATGTTGAACGGAGCACTTTACGACATGCAAGACATTGCAAGAAAATAACACCTATTTTTGGATGAAATTAAGTTACGTATGATACAAGCATGAATTGATGTTATTTTTTTGAACATAAGTGTTTATTATTATTAAAAGCCTCACAGTTTATCTCCACATATATACAATACAGAAAGCTTTAGGTGATTGCTGTTCAGATAGAGGATACTTTATAACAAAAAACAAGTAAAAACAAACAAAAACAAAACCTCGGCATATTGGCAATAGAATCTCCAAATGGACAGAAAAAGGCTTTATGTCACTAGAACTCTGACCATCTCAGTGACGAATTAAAATATTTTAATACGGAGTCCACCTTCTATTCAAACTTGGTCATGTTAAGATTTAGTTTTGATGTTATTTTTTTCCATTGTTTATACCTGTATAGCTCTCTCCCTCCATTTCTATTGTCGGGGGGTAGTGTGAAACAGTGTGAAAATACAAGCCTGTAATAGAACCGTGTGTGAAATTCTTATGCCTTTACGACATATTGACTGCCCTGTACGGACTGCAGAGAGCTCCTGGTCGGGCTGAGGAACAAGATGTGCGTCTGAAGTGGATGAAATATATGAATGGAGATGACTTTAAGCCAAACAAGAAAGCAGTGGTAAGTTTAGCTTTGATTACTACATCCGAGAAAAGCCTATTAGCCAGATACAAAAGCTCTGACTTTGCTCTTGACAGGACCTGTAATGCACTTTCTGTATAGTGCATTTCCTTCATGTTTGTCCTTGTTTACGTTGGATTTCACGTTTGCTAAATAAGTACTTCGCAAAGTGGAGTTTGTGGGACTCTTTCTGGAATTGGCCAGATTATTACAAGTTAATAATGTTAATTGTAATACACAGTAATGCTTTAAGATAAGCATTTACATACATACAATTAAAGTGCATTCAATAAATGAATTCACCTCATTTTCAATAATTGATTTATTCATTTTCATTTTACGTGGGAGTCACGAGTTGAGAGCTCTGGCTTCAAATTCCACAAGATCATCCTTATTTATTACTTAAAATCAGTGAATTACTAATCTATTTTCATTCAATACCAGGTGTGTGGGTAACATTTTCCTGATGGACAATCCACAAGAAAAAAAACCTTCATCCTGTGTTGTATATGGGTTATGATTGTTGTGAAAGTATATATTATCCTACATTGTTTTGTTCAACTAATGCACATCTCATTTTTTCTGTTAGGTAACACCTGCTAGACCCTCCTTAAAAGAGATATAATTAGGCTGTACACCAGAACTCTGCAACTGAACCTGAACCTGGAGAAGATGAAGGGAATTTTGAGAAAGATGAAGGACTGTGGTCCTCGTACTGATCCATCACCAGAGCAATCAGCACAACATTAAGATAAGATAGACTTAAAGGTGCAGTAAGCGATTTTGGTTAGCTTAGTCGTAGCACCAACTCAAAACCACTCCCCCCCTCCCCACCAAACCAAACATCCAGCATTTTCTTTTCTTTGTCACAACAGGGAGAGTGGGTGGCAAACACGAAATTGGCATTTTCTGTTCAGCCCTTTTAGGTTTAAGAAAATCCGACTCTGGTGCGCGCACTCGCGAGAAACAGGAAGAGCGTGAAGGGAGGTAAACCCCTCCCATTGGTTCGTTGATAAACAAAGCGCATTGGTTTATTTTCATCGGTCCGCTCCAAAATACTTTTCATTAATTTTTGGAGACTATAGGCATCTGGTCAATTCCATTACTATTTGAAAGTATTAGGGACGTTTTCCCTCAATATATACATATACAGTGGGGCAAAAAAGTATTTAGTCATCCACCGATTGTGCAAGTTCTCCCACTTAAAATATTGACAGAGGTCTGTAATTTTCATCATAGGTACACTTCAACTGTGAGAGACAGAATGTGAAAAAAATATCCAGGAATCAGATTTAGATTCAGATTCAGTTTATTTGCCATTTGCAGTAAAAATCCACTTTGGAATACATTAGCAAAAAGTCTCCAGTGTGCACAGACAAATACAGACATAAAACAACATTAAAAGACAAAAATATAACAAATAAAACAGTAAACAAATGTCACTGTGAAATCGATCGACCAAAAAAGTTTCAAAACAAGTGCAAATCATTAAAGTGCTCTGTTCACACTGATAACAGCCTGTGGATAAAAACTGTTAGCGTGAGGTGTCTTGCATCTCAGAGAGCGATATCTTCTGCCAGAGGGAAGAAGCTGGAACATGGCTTTTCCAGGGTGGCCAGAAGAGTCATTGACAATCCTAAGAGCTTTGTTTAAAAGTCTGGATTTATAAAGAACCTCCAGAACAGGGAAGCTCACAGCCCACAGTCCTCTTTGCAGAGCGGAGCACCTTGTTTAAAGCTCTCTTTTCTTTATCTGTGATGTTTCCAAACCACACAGACACAGAAGGCAAGGCAAGGCAAGGCAAGGCAAGTTTATTTGTATAGCACAATTCATACACAAGGCAACTCAAAGTGCTGAACAAGATAGCATTAAAATCATAAATAATCACAGAACATTAAAACGAAAGATAAAAATATAAAATCCCTCAGTTGTATGCACAGCTAAACAGCACCGTTTTTAACTTGGTTTT